TTGGTAAAAAAAATCGGGAATCGGTATCGGGAATAAACATCGCTAACAAAGATGGGGAATCAAAATCGGGAATAAAGATCGAGAATCAATAACGATAATAAAAATTGGTAATAAAAATCGGGAATCGGTATCGGGAATAAACATCGGTAATAAAGATCGGGAATGAAGATCGGGAATCAAAATCGGGAGTCAGTATCGCGAATAAACATTGGTAATAAAGATCGGGAATCAAAATCGGGAATCGGTGTCGGGGATAAACATCGGTAATAAAGATCGGGAATACATGGTGTGTTCGAAAGTAATGCGAATGATTTTTTTTAAAGAAATTTATTGATCTAATTCTTACAAATACTAAAAATTCTTCAAAGTACTGCCCTTGGGCATCTACACATTTTTGCCAGCTACTCTGCCGTGAACGGTATGCATCCTGGAATGCGTTTTCCGTAACCTCTTTTAGGGGGTCGGTCACGGCCGCTTGGATGTCTTGTATCGACGAAAAACGAGTTCATTTCAGGGGGAGGGGTGTCTTGATCCGGGGAAACAAGAAAAAGTCTGCCGATGCCAGATCAGGACTATAGGGGGTTGGAGAAGTGTCAACTTGGTTTTGGGTCAAACACTCTCGTAATCGCAGCGCGTTGTGGCAAGGCGCGTTGTCGTGATGCAGTATCCAGGTACCGGAGATGTGCTTTCTCGTGCTGACGACCCTTTTTCGTAGTCTTTCCAGCATATTCGATTAGTGGGCGGTGTTAACTGTCTGTCCTTCAGGAAGAAATTCTTTATGCACTGTTTGACGGACTCTTTTGCTGGTTGGTGGCCGCTCAGAGCGTTGATCGTTGTGAACCTCTTCTCGCCCTTCCTTAAAGGCCTTTAACCACCTCGAAACTTGTGAGTACGACAGAACAGAGTCCCCATAAGCCTCACGAATCATTTTATTTGTCTCATCAAGACATTTGTTTAGTTTAGTACAAAAGCTTTATCGCATATTGTTGTTCTGATCGTCGACTCCACTTTTTCCGTGACACGGTCACCAAACAGGGGGTCACAAAAATTACCGTCCTGTCCCTTTCACAGCTCGGAGAGCCCTGGGACCGGGTTCGTCGGAAAGCTAAGAGTCCCCCGCATCTAACGCACGTGGTCCGATCCCCCTTCGACCAACAGGAGCGGCTCAGGAATTTCGTTCGCATTACTTTCAGAACACACCATGGGGACACAACTTCGGGACGCAAAATCGGTAATAAAAATTGCGTACAAAGATCGATAATAAAAATCAACAATAATGTAGGGAGGATTTTAGGAATGTCGTCGCCGGTACTGTCGCGAATGTAATGAGTAAGTCGATAGTGAATCGATTATGCGATGTTGATTCGTTTTTCATTTTTGTTACGAGGTAACGAGGGTTAATTGAAAAAGCGTAGAGTTGTTGATATGAATTTGATGGATACACATCGTGGAAATTGTAGAACCGCGGATAATTATTATGAAATTTATTGTATTTTATAGCTCTCACGTGTAGATTTGTAGTTTAGGTTGTTATTACAGTATTCACTCCGTAAATGTTACTTTTGCCGGTCTCGATTGTAACATTTACGGTAGAGGTCCTACATTTTTTGTAGTGTGCCGAACGTAGAAAGAGACAGCGATACAAAAGACAAGGAGGGATAGAATTTTGAGCGTTCGGCAAACATGAAAGACTCGTGCGTGTTCTGTCTTTTAAATTTAAAAATTAAAATTCTTTATTTTTGGTTTTTCGTCAATGGTACTTTTACCATCGTATTTGTCTCGTTTTTCTGATTAAAATGACACCAAACACGATATGATTACGATCGTAATTACTTATGTAACAAGCCATAGAAGTTTGGGATGTAACATTTACGGTAGAGATACGAATTCCTAACATTATGCGTTCGAATTTGAGCAATGAAAAAGAAAATCTGGTATCACACGCGGTTTTTATGCAATACATGTGCATTGTGCCTTATTTAATATAACTAACTATTAATTTTAAAAATATATGTATAGTACTTAAAAACTTAACATAAACAGTGTGTTCATTCATAAATGCCGTTCCTTTCTTGATATAGGCCATATCATAAACCTCGAGGCTTAGACGGTCAGCGGGCGATTCGGCCCATAAAACTAACGGTTCCCGCAGACCGGGAGCCGTATGCGAGATCCGAGAAAGAGTGAGAGGTCCGTGAAACCGAAGAAGTCATAAATTTTCACGGACGACCGAACAGTTTAGTGGAAAGAGAACAGAACATATATATTTTTTTCTCACTCTGATGCATAGTGATTCTGTCGTTCATTCATCTGATTTTACATCGATTCGTAATAAGCCACTCACTCGGGTTTGGGCAGTTGCTTGTTACGAATCTGGTATATTATTCCATTCACAAAATCTTACTACTATTAAAAAGAGAAAGCATGCTATGTTCTGTCCTTGTCTAAAGAATAACATCGCTGCTCGACCGATTACTTTATAGTTTGGGAGTGAATACTGTACTTTGTCGGAAATACGTTGGCCGCGAGGACATTATTGCCCGCAAAGATTATTTACAGTAAACATTCGATGTTACGAATATTTCGAGTCTGAACTTTGATTCGTATTGTATAGGTACTACATTGATTGATGTTTCGCCGAATATAGAAAAGGATAGCCAACGGAGATCGCACATAAACAAACAGTATCGAATCGGTGGGACAAGAATAAAGGCAAGAATAAAATTTGTTTATTTTTGATTTTTCTTAAATAAAACTTTCACCAGTATATATGTGTGATATTTTTCAAATTAAAATGAGACCAAACACGGCGTAATTCGGGGCACTTTTATTTGTAACTTCAAATGTTGAGCGTACATCGATGACTTTACTACAATAAGATATTGCCAGTAAATATAACTCAAATTACACTGTGTTTAGTCTCATTTTAATCAGAACAATGTTACAAATATGTTGGTGAAAGTTATATGTAAAAAAAATCAATAATAGGAAAGTTTTACACTTTCATGCGTAGTGTCCCGAACGTTTATAGTATGTCGATGGGTCTTTCCCTCTCCCTTTAGGGTCCTGCCCATTATTCCTGGTGGTGGGGATGATTTCTTCGCTTGTCGCTTATTTTTCGGGAGGAGGTACGAAACAAAAATCATTTCTTCGCAAAACGTGAGTGCTTTAAGTACATTTCCGACATTTCTATTTGTTCTTCCAGTTATTTCAGTTAATTTTTATTACGGTATTTTCCATTGCCTCCTTCTCTTTTTTTCACAAAGCAACGAACAAAATAAAACATCAGAAGGAGAAAATGCAAGCTCTCAGAGAAAATGGTAAGAATATTCTTATGCATTGTATATTTGTAGGAGGCCAAAAGCTACGCAAATGTCATGTTGCGTAGAATGGGCGGAAAGTATTGTAAATTTATATTGCATTTTTCATGCAAATGAAATTGAAGAAATTGTGCAGCCACCACCGGCATGGTGGTTGCAGGCCGCCGCCTGGTGGCCCATGCGTCCGTGGTGGGCGCCGTCGCCACCACCACCACCGCAAAGAGGACAACCCCGTCCCCCCAGCGGCTAGCGCTGCCACCACCGCCCCTGCCCCCATCAGTACAAGCCTTCTCATCAAGACAAGCGCGTGGTTCTGTAAATTGAATAACAATTCCTCGACGCGTTTTTCTCATTAAAGTAACACCAAATACTATATGGTTTTTATAGGGTTCAAATCTGGGCTTACTGCAGGACGTGGAAGCAATCCAATTGAATTGGGACTGCAAAATTCGAGAATGATTCTCAACGAGACTTCTCGACGATAATTCATACACACTCACTGATACTCACATACAAATACACACAAAAAAAAGGTTCTTGTCAGAATCATGTGATGTGCAAAATCTGTCCAGCAACCTCTCCGAGGTGCATATCGGGTAATGCTAATGCCAGCAGTATATGCCATAAATGCAAGGGTTTCTTTAAAGTTCTGTATCTTCTCGGAAAAAATTGGTAGCGGTTTTTCACATACTGGAAATTAAAGATGAAGGTTTGGACTTTATGCTGCTGTAAACAGTATCACAAAAAAAAAAAAAAATGTGGCAAGTGCATGCATTTTGTCAAACTTTGTAATTTTCAATATTGCAAGTATGACCTCACATTTACGGTGTTATTGTGGTAGGGATGCATAAAATATAAAATCAAACTACAGGGTCTTAAAGTAGAGACCTTAAGTTTTAATTTAAAAAAAGAGCATAACTTTGCGATGATTTTTCACGGAGGTATCATCAGTCAAATTTGGCCAATTTTTGCCTAAAATTTTTCTATGCCATATTTCTTTTGAGCACTGTAATTACAATCATAATTACTTGTGTTTCGGGTGATCAAAGTTTTTAACGTGAAAGAGAACGGCAAATGGAAGAGAAAGACAGATAGAATATTTAATCGGTCGGCAAACAAGAAAGACTCGTGTGTGTTTTGTTGTTTGAATTCAAAAATCAAAGTTCTTTATTTTTGTTTTTTTCGTGAATAAAACGTTGATCATCGCATTCGTCTTGTTCTTCTAGTTAAAATGATACCAAACACGACACAATTCGAGACATATTTACTTGTAATTATAATACAAGTGTTCCGTTTGTTACCGAATTCATTGCTCTAATAAGTTATTACAAGTAACTATGCCCCGAATTACGTCATGTTTGGTATCATTGTAATCAGAAAAATATTACAGACATGTTGGTGAAGGTTCCATGTGAAAAACGACAAAAATAAGAAAATTTTACGTTTACATTGGTATTGTCTCACGGATACATACGGATTAATTTCACGTTATATGTATTTCTTGGCGATCGAGCTTCTGGTTTTCTGATCAGTCTTGCCCCCTGTGGTGGACATAATTTTTCATTATTATCCTTTTTATCTTCAAAAAATTTTCCCTTATGACTTTGAAAGCATAGGGAAACAATTTCTGAATCCTTTCATAAATTTTTGATCGACATAAGGTCTATTAAATTACAGAAATAAATATTATAAGGCTTTATTACGACAATGTTTGGGGAAACAAATGTTTTAGCAAACTTCTACTTCACGTTTCGAAATCACACTTTTGGCTCCGCTTCATGTGTTGCTCACAGACAGAGAAGTATCATTTCTCCCATCCCTCATGTGAATTTTCTCGCGTCATTAGAAATGGCTTTTCTGAAGTAGGGCACAAGAATTTTTCGTATTCTTGACGAAGGCCTCTTGATTTGTTACCGACTGGCTCCAACAAACTGTTCCATAGAGCATTAGCATCTGGAAAATAATAAATCGATTGAGAAATTAGTACTTTGTGTATGATACACGAATTTAGCAAGCATTTACTGTAACAAAGGTCACGGGCGTTTTAATTAATACAAGTGACAGGTAAATATTCGAGTAGAATACTATAATTAGAAAAGTACAATATTAAATATGTTGAAGGTGATTTATCCATTTGTGTGTAACGTGAATTTATCGGAGTTCAGAAGAAGAGACGCGAATCTAGCAAGAATATAAGAAATCGTTCGTCAAAACTTGGAATATTCCATGGAAATTGGTAGGATGAGTTTATAGATGTGTATATAGAAGTCACAGAAAACTTTGAAATGATGTGCGAGAATGCGAAGGTCGCTTAACAGTAAAATATGAGCGTCGTCAGTCTCACGAATATAACATTTTGAACTGGATGATTACCCACATCGTGCATTAGTTTTCTGAACAGGGTGGAAGCAGTCGTAGGAGAAATTTGTCATGTCTAGCTGTCCATCTTCTGTAAGTGGCGGTACATAGTTTTGAAGTACAGGTGAAGATACAACAGTGAAATCTTCTGTATTAAATTCTGGGTAGTTAACGACATCTTCCTCCACGTCCGCCCATCTAAGAAAAAAGAAAATAAAGTATACATAAGAGCAAATTTTCTATTCCTTTAAAACTGTATAAACTTGCGACACATCAAGTATGTACAATTCAATGATGAAAATTTCTGTACATCTTGAATCCGTCAAGCCTCACCCACCTTTTCAATATGTCGAAATATTCTGAAATTTGGTCTTGATAGTGCAAATTAAACAAACAGGGACAAAAAAATCGTGTCATAATATAGCATCTCAATATTGGTTGATTTTTCATTGCATCAATATACGTATCAAAAGAAGGAAGCATAATAACAACGACAAAAGTTCTAGGCAAATTGTCGCGCAATATTCTCAAGGTAGTAATTAGATCGCTTCTATAAGTTTTCAAAATAGACGACGGTGATGGCGCGTAGCATACCTCAGTGCACAAATCGTTGTGTCCAATAAGTATAGAAATCAACTGTAACGGAATAGAATTAATATTATTGATGTACAAGTAGTATGCGTAATAGGTCACAATAAAACCAAAACTTAACGCAGCCGAGGAAGTGTAACAGGAAATTGTAAATCAAGTAATAAGAACCGATACTGATGTCCCCTACGTTGATGTTCTACAGACACTTCTCTAGAAAATGGAATGCAGTATAAGTCTACTTTTACCCTTTATTTTTTAAGAGAAAACTTGCGAAGACGTTTAATGAAGGTAGAACGTTGATACAAATGACGCTACTACATAGGGAATATATTTGCAAACAAGTTACATTAAGGTAAGTTGCTCAATAGCTGACAGTTTAAGAGAAAGAATTCAAACAATTTAAATTAAAAAATATTTGAAATCAATAAAAGCAGTCGCTAATATTTTATTAAAATTGATTGATCCTTTATCTTTAAATTGACGTAACCAAAAGCTATTTAAATTTTGTTAATGTTAAGAAAATTAAATAAGCAGGGTTATGGTAATGACACCAATAACTAACATGGCCGAAATGTAGTGTATCCAATATCTGACATCTAGATCCTCCAATAGCTGACACTTTTATAAATGTAAGCAGAGATTATTCATTTAAATAACATAATTTATTTCCACAATAAAATAACAGAAGATAACGTTAATTTATTCAAAATACATTTAAATTTGAACTTAAAGTTCCTCAGACGATGTAGAAGTATTACTTTCTTTAACAAGTCGTTTGTATTTCTTTGCAGTTATTTTCTTTTTCTTATTCAGTTTTTCTGCTGCCTTCATTTCTCTTTTTCTTTTTCTTTCTTCTTTTTCCTTTTCTTTTCTTTCCTTTTTGGCATTTTTTTTATAATAATAATTCTTCCATTCTTCCGATGTCACGACCGACGAAATTTTTTCCCTCGATTTCTTTCTTTTTTGTTCGTTAGATAGTATCGGCCAAAATAAACAATTTTGAAAAGTGCTTGGCACATCGTTTGGTACATTAGTTTGATTTATTGTTGCAGACTGTACTTCTTGTAGTTCTGATGATAATGTGGGTGTAGGTGTTTTATTATAGGCCCTTATTTCATCTTTTCTGATATGAGAATAATCTCTCTCATTATTACTATTTTCAAAGGTATTGTTTAATGTATTGTCTAGTGTATATATATGAAATTCATTGTTAGATGTACTGCTATTACTATCTTGGTGTTTGCATGTGTACTTGTTTGTTTTAATAAATTAACTTCGGAAGAAATGTTACTCCAAACTTCAAACAAAGACGTGTCTTCCATTCTACCTGACCAAACACCTCCACATGATTTAAACTCGATCAAAGTCTGTGGTGCAATTTTAGATTCTAAAAAAATCAATTGTTGCTTCAGTTGCGTTAAATATTTTTTTGACGTTTCTTTGGATGAAGGGAGATCTGAATTAATTTCTTTGTTAGATTTAAAAAATTTTTTTAAATCAATATTTGAAGCATTGAACGGAACAAGACCACAAGCTCTAAAACCGTTTACAATAGTTTCTGGCTTGACATATTTTAAAAGTACTTCTTGTAATAATGGAGCAAAGTTTTCTCTTCCAATTGCTTGCCCATTGTGCTCAAATTTCCATTTCTGTACAGAATCTTTCCAACCATTTTTCAATGGATGAAACACTGATACATCCATTGGTTGTGAGATGTGTGTTGCATTCGGGTAAAGGGTAATAATTATTATTTTCTCTGTACAAAACTCACTTAGGGAGAAAGTAAGGTGACTAACATGACCATCCACAAATAAAATGACTGGCAAAGGAATATCTTTCTTCAATAGCCATTTATAGAACACATTTGTAATATATTCATAAAAACTTTGTCCAGTCATCCAGCCGCTGGAACTTCTTCCCACGCCCCACTCATTAGGCATCAAACTTATTATGTGTGAGGGGATTCTTACATAGAAAAAGATGACCATTGGTGGTGCAAGCTGATCAGTTGCATTGGCAGTTATAAGTGTCGTCAGGCACTCCTTTTCGTCGTTATTAATAAAGTTATATATTGTGGATTCTCCTCTTCTAACTATAACTTTCTTTACTTTTGGGTTCAAAAAAAAGCAGTTTCATCTGCATTAAAAACGCGTTGACTGTTTAAATAACAGTCAAATATATATATATTAAATATAAATTAAATATAAATATTAAATATAAATATATATATTAAATATATATGGTAAAAATTATTATTTTTTAGGTAATTTTCTATTTCGTCGAACCAGTTGCGTATTTTTTGCTCTGTTATATTCGATCGTGCCTTTGTCAAATTCTGTGACATTTGTACTGATAATTCCGGATGACGATTCATAAAACAAAAATACCATTTATTTCTAGGCCGATTATTAATAAAGTTGTTAGGTCTGTGTAGACAATTATATTATATGTATTATATGTTACGAGCGCCCGTAGTTTGGTGGGGGTACAGGTGATCGCGATACCTCTAACCGAAATTTGCGAGCAGTCCTCGATAGATTAGCACGAATAGAAGAGCAATAGTGGCCAGCGTTATGTTTATAGTTATTTTTCAATATAGTTATTTTTCATTCTATATATATATATATATATATATATATATCGGAAATTATCGAGGTTGACGGAATTAAAAAGTTTTTTGGGAATAACAATAATTTTAATAATTTAACAAGGGTATAAGAATCAATAGGAATATAAAAAACAAATACAAACACTTAGGCTACAACTTTTCGGACAACTTTTCGGACAACGTGTTACTTCAACGGTTACGACTGGACTGTCCCGCGACGCCACGCCGTTTTCCTTATTCGTTACCAATTCCCGCGTAAAACGAAACAATTGCTAATCGCTTCTTTGTTCCCTCGCTAATTTTCGCGCCAACTCGTAGTAACGCCGAATTATCTTGGCGCCAATTGTCCGCGTTTCCCGCTCGCCCGTTCGCGCCCGATCGTATTCGATGGACATCGAATAAACCGATCCCACATATATATTTTGTAAAATACACGATAAAACTTTATTCTCAATATTAAAAAAGAAATATAAATGAAATTTTTTTTATGCATTACATCAAAAATTTACCAAACAAAATATTAATAAAAATTACGTTTAATCCTCTTTTTTCGCCACCACGATATTTTATAGTTATAATTAAAAATTAATTTGTTTCTGTTATTACATTGATAATCATATATTATATATTAATTTTAGCAAATTATTGTAATGACTCATCAAACGTTAAGAAATATATGTGTATAAAATATATATCATACATATATTTGTTAATTATTATCTCATTTAATGATTTACATATGGAAAATATATAAAATCTATAACAATGTTTGTTAACAACTAAATTTTCAATATTACACGTCAAACATGAAACAAAACTTTAAGCGTAATAATGAATATTATACAACTATTTCAAAAAGCACATAATTTTCATGATAAATTATTTCCCCCAGCTATAATATATATATATATTTATATTAATAAATAGTAATAAGAAAAGTTCTGGCGTGCATTTAATCTAACAACAGTCTGTTTAAATTTTTCATCAACATTTCTGCAGAGTCTAAAAGTTAACTTTTTGTTGCAGGAAAGCCATAGTCAACAATATGACCGAATCATTTTACTAAAGATTTTTCTTCATCAGGTGTTAAATTTGTTGGTGGTCCTTTTCTACATTCTTTAGGGTATATTCCTTTGTCTAAAACCTTTTTTAAGTCTTTTGCCGCATATCTCATAGTTTTCTTTGCTTTTCATGCCATTCTGTATTCAAAATAAAAAATCGAAATTTATTCAAATGTACCAATATCTGACACCACCCAGTAATTGACATCATCTGTCAGCTATTGGAAGTTGTAGAGATATGGTACTAAAAGTAATGTTTATTGATGAATCCTTTCAAATTAATCTGATTATTTTTTAAAACAACGTAACGTAAAAATATAACCCTTTCGACCAATAACTGACACCGTCATCTGACATCCGTGTCAGATATTGTTCGAAAGGATTATATTTTTACGTTACGTAGTTTTAAATTAAAATTTGACATCCGTGTCAGATATTGGTCGGCAGGGTTATGTTCAAATCACAGAAACTGACACCCCTGACACCCATAAAATTAGATGGTTTATTTAAAGCCTTCAAATAGAAAAGAGCACTATAATCTTTAATCATAACAGGGAAATATAAGGTTGCTCTCAAAATAATTTAATAAAATAAATACAAAGCAAAATATCATGACGTGTTTCTAACCTTAAATGATAGAGGAATCGAGCCAGTAATGAAAATTACGTGTCGACTTGTGAACAACAATTGCACAATCTGGATAAGTTCACGCATAATGATCCTCATAAATCAGAGATGGCGCTGCATAATACACACTTCATTATACACACAATGAGAAACAGATATTGTTTATAGATTCTTTATTAATTAATTTTAAGTTGTAAGTGTCAGTTATTGGGCAACTTACCTTAAACCTTCGTTACACTTACGGACAGAAAGATGTTTATCTAAGGAAATGTTTCAACCAAGTGAAATTATTATATCGATCTTGAACATAATTTATGTTCAATTCTATCGAAATGTGTATTACAAAACAATTTATTGTATTCACTCAGTGATCTCAGAAATTTTACCTTCCAGTGTTCTTTGATCTTTACTCTTGAATCCTGCTTCATTCTATCAACTAGATATTTGGCCATGAAAGGCATATCTTTAGCCATTGCACCAGTTTCAGCGACATTGAAATGCGAGTCCTGATGATAAATTAAGGAATCGCCACACGAATACCCTACTAAATTCGGGTTATATTCCTGTGTGCAAGAAAATTTGTACATTCTAACAACATGCCGATTGAAAAACAAAGCATGATGCAGTAAAACCCAGATATTTTCATGCAGCAGGGAAAGTGGGGGTAGAGCAGTAAATTACGAAAGAGCAAGACCGTGTCGCGTTTTATTTCTTTCCGTGATGAAAAACATGACTCGAAATAGATGCGTGTGAATATGTGAATAGTAGACATTTGCAAGTGCAGTTCTACCAGGCATTTATGCAGCAGGAAGATATCGAGGGTCTGTTATATAATAACGATAGATAGATACAAGTGAAATAGCCGATTTTCAAATGTAATATCCGCATTCGTACGTCGCACACTAATGTGGAAGGTGGAAAGATAAAAACAAACATACCTTGAGAATATTAGGAAGTGTTAAAAATGTTCGCCAATTTTCCTGCCCGCCGATACTGCCGACAACTCCTCTGTTTTCGATGAGTAACTGCATCATTTTTTGTGCAAAAACACCAGTGCCAGCTGTTACAGAATCGCCCATCGCAGCAATCACATCAATATCACCAGGTCTTAAACGATGAACCGAATCTGGTATTTTTAGGGACCTTCCACCTAACAGATAGTATCTTCCGTTACTAACGAGCAATACACTGCTCAAAAGAAGTATGGCATAGAAGAATTTTAGGCAGAAATTGGTTAAATGTGACTAACGGTAATTCCGTGAAAAATCATTGTAAAATTATGTTCTTTTTTTTAAATTAAAGCTTGAAATCTTTACTTTAAGATACTGTAGTTCAATTTTAGGCTTGATGTATCCTTATTACTATAACACCATAAAGAAGTGAGGGCATGTTTGCTATATTGAAAATTACAAAATTTGACAAAATGCACAGATTTGCTCAATTTTTTTTTCGGATATACTGTTTACAAGATCATAAAGTACGAACCTTCATCTTCAATTTCCAGTAAGTGAAAAATCGGTGCCATTTTTTCAGAAAGATGTAGCATTTCAAAGAAAACTGTATTTATAGCATATACCGTCGGCATTGGCATTACCCGGTGTGCACCATGCGGAGATAGCCGAGCGGATTTTGCACATCATATGACTCTGAAAAGATTCGTTTTTCTGTGTGTGTGTACGTGTGAATGTTTAAATTCTAATAACAGTGTTTTCTCAGTGTTGTTGAATTACCACTTGTGCTAATTGCTCCTGTTAATGCAAGCCATAATTTCGTCATGTGGAATGTCATTCCAGTTTTGAAGTACGACTTGTAGCAAGTCTTGGAGATCGGCAGATTGTCTTACTAAATTTCTTAACCTTTTTTTTTTACGTGGGGGAAATTTTCAAAGATATCCCGCACCCTTGGGGGAGGGCGCGGAGTTACGTAGAGACACAGGACGCCACGGCCCCTGTGGCGGCTCTGCAAGGGGAGGCGTAAGTCTTCCCCGGAGCCGCCGCTACCCTGCCGGGAAATTTCTTAACCTACGATCCATTATGACCCATACGTGTCAGTTGAATTCACACACACGCACATACACACGCGTGCACACACGCACGCATAGAAAAACGATTCTATTCAAAATTATATGATGTGCAAAATCCGTTTGGTTACCTCCGCATAGTGCACATCGGGTAATGTCAGTACCGGTGGTATATGTCATAAATGCAAAGATTTCTTTGAAGTGCTACATCTTTCCGAAAAAAATGGCACCAATTTTTCACTTACTGAAAATTGAAGATGAAGGTTCGTACTTTATGCACCTGTAAACAGTATCACCGAACAAATGTAGCAAATCCGTGCATTTCGTCAAACTTTGTAACTTTCAATATAGCCAACATGCCCTCACATTTATAATATTATAGCGACAGGGACGCATCAAACCTAAAATCGAAATATAGTATCTTAAAATAGAGATTTCAAGTTTTAATTTAGAAAAAAAAACATAATTTTGCGATGATTTTTCACAAAGTTACCGTCAATCTTTAGTCAATTTCTACTTAAAATTTGTCTGTGCTATATTTCTTTTGAACAGTGTAGAAAAAAAACGTACACACGCCGCTTTTGATCGAATTTCACACATTTCTAATGTAAGTAATTACTTACCAGTAACATTGCAGGGGAATGGAATATCTGGAGATAGTTGTTTTTGAAGCTGCTGTAGATAGTGTCTTGTAGGTCTATGTAGCTGGTCTCCTCCTAATTGTAAGTAATAATGTTTTATCGCGTGGTTAATAGACGATCTATCTCTTACGATATTCAGGTATAAAATTTTCTGCTCCGATGTTATTCCTGTTAAGAAATCAAGGTAACGTACCTTGGTAGCTAGTGCAAGAAAAGCTATAACGTTTACAAGAGATTACTTTTTATTGGAGTAGGTGCACTTATCGCAAAACCTCGAGTAAGAATTGATTATATTGAAAACATCTACTTAAAATGAAATAACGTACCTTACATCGTGCGCTATTTGTAATGTGACATCACCCAATTAATACACGCCGATTTTTATGAAATTTTTATATGTTATAGAATTCGAAAAAATATTTGACACGTATTTTTTTATCGGCAAATATCCACTTTGAAGTGGTGAAAATAACCCTTAAAGTTGGGGTTGAAAAAAGTTATTTTCCCAAATATCTTGGGAACTATTAGGTGTAGACAAAAAATATAAAATGCGAATTTTTCTGTTTTAGAAGGCCAATAACATGGCTTAAGTGGATTTTTGACAAATTTATTTGCTTAAAAAATATGGTAAAAACTAAGAATATTTTGCAAATATTTTTAATAAAATGTTGAACCATTTCGATCAAATTTCACATATGTAAACTATGGGTCCAAAGAAAAAATACGGATAAATTGGAATTTTTAATTTCTCTTATGCAAAAGATATTACTATGGTTGGAGTTACGCGTACATTTTATACCTTTCGTTCGGGGCACGACTGATTTCTATACATAATATTCTGAAAATTGTATTATACATTTTTTATACTAATTTGTTTAAAAAAAGGACTTAAAATTCCATAAATGCCTCTATAAAAATATAGGACCCGAGTCAGATATCCTATTTAATCCACGTTATTGTGAGTCTACGTTGTTATATCTGTGTAGTATGCACATTTTTTGTTGAATATCAACTTTGAAAAGGATTAGAATCTATGACGTTTCGAATAAGCCTCCAGTATCGGTAATGTAACTCAGGAGAAATCCTAAAAAACACTCGATTTCACGAGGAGGTTTTCAGAATCGCACTTAGGAGATTAAAGAAGATATTAATGCAGAGTGCGCATTTTCATCATAAATCACGTACAATTCGCATCTTTGTACCATGGGACATCAAAGAAGAAACACCGGAGCACACTAATGTAGTGATCTCACTTACCGAAATTATTGAATACCCATTTACGGAAACTCCGAAACATGTACAAGTTTTCTGGAGAGTCCAATTCCGTTTTCTGGGCCGCGACGAACACGCATAAAAGTACAACCGATAAAAATTGGTGCATAATTCTTTTTAAACCAATACACAAAATACTTCCAACTATACGTAAGAACAAATATTAAATTGATAGATTGGATCGTTTGATAAGTGAAGTATGATGAGATATTCCTTCTGCCGGAGTTTGGTAAAAATGTAATGATCACTGTCAAGTAAAGACTACGACGTAGTACTGTATACCAGGAGAACGTATATATGTACATGTGTAACGTCCCTGGGGAAACCTTTTTTTCTTTCTACCGGCATCATCGCGACAATCTTCTATCCATCGATTAGAATAGTCAATTATCGACCGTAGTTGCCAATTATCGACAGTACATTAGGTATCTATTACCATATCTATCAAATTCGACAGTCGGTAATCACAATATATGTATATATATATATATATATATCTATCAAATTCGACAGTCGGTAATCAATATAATAAATATATATTATCATTTATATTAATTATCTTATAATTTTGATTTAGAGTAGGTAATATTTTCTATAAAAGAATTGAATATTGAGTTGGAATAATTAAAACAAGATAATATGTTATTTTATTATATTTTTCTAATAAATAGTTTGTATACGAAATTTCCGTTACGCTATGATGTGCCTACGTGCCGCGATACTCGTCCTCGTTTTCCAATTTCTTTTTTCGCTAATATCTCGAAAACTAAAGCTTTCCGTCAATTATGCGTAAGGAAAAGGTTGTCCAGAATCATGCCCCTGACAACGTACTAAAAGGACATTAAAATCGTTCGAAGTTGATTTCAAAAGTTAATAACAATTTTTCGCTAATATCTCGAAAACAAGCTATCCGCGAAATTTGTATAGGAATAAAATTGTTCAGAATCATGTCCGCGATAAGATATTAAAAGCTCACTAAAATCAAGAAAAGTTTATTTCAAAAGTTGTCGGTTGTCTTGCAATAACAATACTTTGCAATTAAAAAATGAAAAATTTTTTGATAATGGTACCAATGGGGAGTCAGAACCTACCAGATGTAAAGGGTTTTGTTCCGATCGGTCCATCCAGCTAGACGTAATCGGCGAACATACATAGGAAAAAAAAAAGTACTGATGGAATTGAGAAACCTCCTCCTTCTTCGAAGTCGGTTAAAAATGGAGTCTCAACCAATATTTTGGCAAAGGAAAAAGTTGTTTAGAATCGCCCCACCTATCACCCCTTTTCGGTTCTTACAGTAATTGCGGGACACTGTATAGTCACAGTGAAATGCTTGTTCACGATCACACTCAGCTGTCAAGCTCAAAGCTGTTGCTCTCGGATAGAGAATAGCGCGGCCCATCCTCACGCTCTGATTGGTTAGTGTTTTTCAGTGATAATTCAAAAACTAAGCTTCAGTGAACATTTTGGTAAAGAAAAAAATTCAGTATTACTTTAGTTACCTCCTCTTGAAATTATGCCTACCAGTAGCCGAACACCCTGTATGTTCCTGCTTTTTACATCCGCAACAAACGCTTTCTTTAAATTTGCACGCCCACACCAGGTATGTTTTACTTCTGCATTTGAAGTAACACCGTTCATAATTATATGGTGTGATCTGGCAGTTCACCTTGATCCAAACTACAAAGTTAACCTGTTTTTTATTCGTAATTATAACATCAAATTGCTAAAAGAACAATGGAAATGTTCCATCGAGGTTATCGAAGTATTTTAGTGGCGTTCGATAAAAATAAACGAGTATGAAATACCAACGATTCATCATAATACTCATATTAAACTATTTAAACAGTTAAAACAATTCGTTTCAGATGAAAGAAAATTTCATGATTGATTTATACTTTATAACGACCATAGCAACACTAATAATAAACGCGAATATATTTACACTCGACAAAATTAACGATGGAAAGTATGGAATAAATGCTCTTAGCGGCCAATGAATAATTTTTCTGGAGCAACTAATTAAAGTTAAGATGTACTATGAACAGTGAAAAATAGGCATTGGTATGATTTTATTCACATAGAAATTGATCCAAAAATTATGGAAGATCTATATCAACGTATACTAACATCAGACGTACAATGTTATAATAACGAAACTCGATAAACTATCCACCGGCCGTAATGAAATAGTAAAATAATAAATTCGAACATTTATCGAAAGTTATAGAGACGAAAATTCAAATCAACTACTACGTGAAAAAATCTGTAGAACAGAGACTAACGTTCGATACAAAGCATGGAAGAATCAAACTTTATATATTACTACATGTGCAACTTTTCGAATTACCACGAGAACATGAGCACGTTGATAATTTTTTGTACCGCTTAATGAAACGCATTAAATAGCATTAGTCGATAATTGTGCAATAAACATTACACCTAACGAGACACGCGGTCTATTAGGAATAAAAATTCTACTGCTAGAAAAAACTGTATGACCTCATGATAGTTATGTCCTTTTCGTCTCACGTGTAAATGTGTTATCGAGTAATTAATATTCTATAATGACTTTTTCTTTTATATCAATGGCTTAACCAGTATTCTTATGAAACTTGGGTCAGAAAATTATAAATCTAAGTATATGCGAATTCAGAAAACAGCCTGAATAAAATTCCAAACAGGAAACTAATTTGGATGTATTGGTATAGTTCCAAAGCTAGAATCGCTGCATACACTTCGTCCTATTAATAAGCTTAAGCACAAAGAACTCTGACATAATTTTATATTAATTTCAGTATCCGATTGCAGTGAAATCTTGCTTGTTCCTCCTCTAAAACCGTCTAATATCATAAGTAGCAATAGAATGAACTAGTAGCAGAAGTATAATAGAAGCTATTAACTAATAGTTACACATATAAGGATGCCAGATCTGAATATATCTGAAAGCATATTCCCCTAAACCTTATACAAGAATCACATTCCAGATAAATTGGAATGAATTGGACAAGCACTACGGGAACTACAAAACTTATCCGACAAAACATTTTTTCGCCAACGTCTAAGAATCAGAACAGAAAAAGTTGAATATCACTCTTGCACAGGATATACAGATTCGTTGGGAATATTGTTCGTCTTTCTCACTAAAATAGACTTTCCAAAGCAATAATCAACATAAAGAGAGTACTTACAGGCAACAGTTATACGAACTGTAGTTTTAATAAACAGTGTCCAATACAACATGTTACTCTCTCAGCTGGGACCCAGACAGTTGAGACCATCACATTAGTTCGGAGATTTCGAGACCGTTTTTCTAGGTCATAGATGAAGGTCATCACTAATTGAGCCGTTCAGTGCACACATTGATTAACTCCATTTTTTGAAAAATCTTAAATTATTATAAATAGAAAAAGTTATGACTATACCAAATGCTTTAACACTTAAATTTAAGATGTTTCAAAAAATGAAGTTAATCAATGTGTGCACTGAACGGCTCAATTGTAAGTGGGAGATGTCGACTATTCCTTCTCCAGCTATTTGCACTTCTTTATATCAGCCCTCAGTTCGTAAAGACGACATCATTTTTTCTTTTGCGTCCAAATTCTTAAAAGCAAGTATTTTAATATATCCATGTATCCGGACTCTGTCTTTAGATAGTCTGGTACTGCAGGCAATAAGGCTAATATGTCGAGCCTGTTATCGTACTTTCCACATACATATGCATCGGACCGCTTCTCTGATCTCCAACTTTAAATTCTGTTCTCAGGAATAATCTGCACTCATGTTTATAATTAAAACCACCGTATAAAAATGGGACTCTCCGAGGATCCAAGGTCGGTACTCTATACTCTCTTCCGGTATTGTACCTGTTCGTAATATCTGTAATAAAATAACACAATTGTATTCGAAACTTGTAAGATGGAGTAAATAAACATTTAAAATCACTTCATCTTGGGTGATTCAACGGTAACATAACTCTGATTGTTAATATAATATGACAAACTCCTTCCTTGAAATCAACACAGTTCCACGCTCCCAAAGCAGGTATAGTTATACTTGTATAACTCCTTAAGCTCAATTCCTAACTTTTCTTCTTCAGTACTAAGCATTTTAGAATGTTCAGAAATGAACAAACTTCTACCAATACATATGTATGTATTTTTTATCAACTTTTTATTAATTCAATACATTTTATAATATTGTAATATTCTATCACACCAGACAGTCCAATCGTCTATCCCAAATTTTATGCAATTTATTATTCATTCAGATTCGATAATTTATGTAATACTAAAAAGTATATTTCCCTTGTCACAGCATTACGATCACAACAATCCTGCCAAAAATCCGATGTTGAACACATCATAATGATCAAAGTTCGAATTGCAATGAAAAGTAAAGAAATGTATTTGAATAAAGTTGCAAGATATTGAAAGACAGAATACAAATACTCCTACTGCACCATCTATTAACGAATTTCAGGCTTGGTCCATTCCGAACTTCTCTTCGACGTACAATCACGAGGTGCGTATCAGGTGTATTCATGAAGTTGATGAAGATGAGTTTTGTCATTAATTTGTTGAAGTCACGAATAGGAACAAAAGACACTATCTTCGCACATCGACGTTTAGTTTATTTTATTATTATTTCATTTTCTTCTATTTTAGTTTTGCATTATTTTCTTGGTATACATATAACAATACAATGTAGTTTTAGTTTAACAAATGCAATATTTCGGGTTTCCACAATTTCAATTAGTACCATAACTGACTATGTATACTTCCTTCTTCAGGAACCAGACAATTTGAAATACTACACAAATTAGAACCACTTGTAAATTTAAATATATACAAGGTGACTCACCACATTTTCATGTCTGAAACAATGTTTCAGATGAAGTTGAATGGTTTTGAGAGGGGCATATGCTGGTGGTATACTTTTTTTGTAGATGGACGTGTAAAGTTCATATGAAGGTCATTAATATTTTTTTTAAATGGAATCATATATTTTTTATTGCATCAGCTGATACTCCTTCATATTATTTACAAAAAAGTATTAATCTATTAATGTGAAAAAATCATTAGTTTAGGAGTTATTTTAATTCTTGTTAGGAAATCGTGACTTTTTGATATTATGGATTGCCCTAACTGAACAGCAAATGTTCTACATGCTTTGAGAGGTCACTTATCACCAAACGAATGATGAGTTTTTGTTTTTTTTTGTTACGCAGTAACAGTGAAATTTAGTCTCTGTTACGTCTCTAATACGGTGAATACGATGATACGGTAAATTATCACTTCATATTGAAGTATTCTAAAGAACAAAAGATAGACATATTATC